TGTTAATCGTGTGGATGTAATAACTGTTAATCATGTGGATGTAATAATTGTTAATCATGTGGATGTAATAACTGTTAATCATGTGGATGTAATAATTGTTAATCACGTGTGTCTGCTGTGAACAATAATCATTTTCACATCATGAACAGTTTCTCAGAATCACCTCTAAGTGTCACCAGTAGAACCAGAACCACAGAAACGTGTGACACCAGCCCTGGAGTTGGCGTGGGGCTGCGCACTTTTCCACGTTCAGTTGAGTTTTGATACATCTGGAGTTTTGCGTGGAAAATGGCGTATGCAAGGTTTTTGTGCATACGCACCGTTGATACATGAGGCCCCTGGCCTCAGTCACTAGACCTGAACTCAGTCCAGATGGTTTGGGGTGAGCTGGACCTCAGAGTGAAGGCTAAAGAGCCAACAAGTGCTAAACATCTCTGGGAACTCCTTCAAGACTGTTGATAAACCATTTCAGGTGACTTACCTGTTGAAGCTCATCAACAGAATGCCAAGAGTGTGTGAAGCAGTAATCAAAGCAAAAGGTTTTTACTTTGAAGAACATAGTTTTAGTTGTTTCACACTTTCTTGTTAAGTATATTCACTTAGTTCACATACGCCTTCAGTGTGAATCTACAATTTTCATAGTCATGAAAATAAAGAAAACTCTGAATGAGAAGGTGTGTCCAAATTTTTGGTCTGTACTGTGTGTAAGGGAAGCTTACAAAGGTTTTTATCCTGACACAAGTTTTACAATATTTTTGACATAAAAGCAACAACATTTAAAAAAGGAGAAGAAATTAGGAGCAGCATTGGGAGTTAGTTTATCATCACAACATGCAAACATTTAACACAAAACTACAGATAATAAACCTGACAAACTTACAGTAAATTTACTGATGAAATCAAATCCAAAGATCCTGATGTTTTCAGTGTTTTATTTTGAAAATCTCTATTTAATTATTTATTTTACTTTTCTTCAGCCACCTCCTTCCTATGAGGAGGTGATTAGAGAGAAGACACAGGAGCAGGTTCTCCCTCCTCCTCCTTCCTCCTCCTCCTCCTCGTCACGTCCAGTTTCCAGGACAACTATCGCCACACAGACCGACCCGGGTTCTGACCCGGACCCTCAGGAGGCACAAGGTGAGCGAGGGTTTGCTTTGTGACGTTTGTTTTAAATAAATATTAATAAAAGTTTATTTCTGTTGGTGTGTGCAGCATCGAGACCAGCAAGACCACCTCGCCCACCTTTCCCCCACCCTCCAAAGTCATCTGATGTTGCTGACGTCACCAAAGCTAACAGCCAATCAGCAGCCCCGTCCTGTGAGGCCGAGGGCGTGGCTCCTGACCCCCGTCCTCAGGTGAACTCCACAGGATGCTGCGACCTCCTCACTGACCTGTGTTCACCTTCGACGTCCACTTGCGGGAATCAAACCCCCCCGTGGGATCTGAGCCCGCCCGCCGCCGTCCCGTCCGAGCGACCGAGGCCACGCCCCCGCACCAAGCTCGGCCGCCAGCCAATCAGAGACGAGGTCAAGGTTCAGACGTTGGTGAAGCTGCGCGAGGACGGCCCAGCCACGTTAGCCGCCCGCTCCAGCAGCAACGGTCCGAACCAGGAGGGGGGTCAGGGGAAGTACCTTCAGGAGCTGCTGGAGGCCTTCAGCTCCGACGACTGGGGCCTCCCTGATCACCGCAGCGACAGCAGCCAGGGCGGCCAATCAGAGAGCGAGGAGGAAGAGGAAGAGGACATGGCGACTCTCAGGGCGAGGATACAAGCCTTCGAGCAGCACAGCAACGGGGATGAGAACAGGCAAACTGGACCTGCTGAGGGCTTTGTTGCTGCAGAGAGACCTGAACCTCGGCCACGCCCCCGTCTGCAGGGCCAACCGGCCAAATCTGTCCCCCCTGTTATTGCTCCAAAACCCAAAAACCTTTCACCCACTCCCAAACCTTCCTCCAAGGAGTTCTGGGAGGGTGAGGACCCGCCTTCAGAACCGAACCTGGAACCCTCTGCAGAACCGTTAGATCCTGCTGCAACAAAGTCCGAACCCCAGCCCTTCAGAACCACAGAAAAACCCCCCATAACACCAAAACCACAGCCCGCTACAGAAACCCCCTCATCCAGCACCCCCGTCCCCGCTCCAAGACCTCCTCCACCCAAAACCACCCCGTCCCCGCCAAACCCCAAACCCCCACCCAGACCGGCCGTCGCCCCCCGAACCAGTATGGGATCTCCCCAGCAGGACCAGGGCTCTGCAGAACCAGCTGTGACCCAGTCTGGTGAGTTTATTCTGTTGTTGCTCCCTTCTGCCCCCTGCAGGACGATTATTTTATTTTTTAATTTATTATTTTCATGTCCATCTTTTTATTTTGGTCATTGTTTAATTTTCCATTTACAAAACACTGAACAATGAAAACAAAACAGAATAATACAGAAAATAATACACAATCTTTAAATTCCTGTCAGTGTCAAAAAGACCGAAAGAAAGTGTAGGTAGAAGCCAAAGCTTTTTATACCTGATCAAAATCAAATCATCATATTTCCTATAGATTTTATAAAAGAAAATCTCTAAAGAAATTTTAACCAAATTTGTAACTAAATTCTAGCAGCTTCAAACATTCAATCAAAACTTTGTAT